GTGCTCAGAATCGCCTCCTGGAATGCGCCCAGGGGCCTGCGGGGATTGGTTTCCCACACGCCCAGCAGCTCTGAGAGCGGCTCTGTGCAGCCGGCCGCCCCCTCCAGCTCCTTGGAGGGGTGGAGGGAGCTTGTTGCTGGGAATGTTCTACACGCAGGTCAGGCCCCGGGCCAGCCCGCAGGAGCGCAGCCGAGCTCCTCATCAAAGGGGCCTTGGGCCGGGTTGGATTTAGCGGCAGGAGACCAGCCAGGGCTGAAAGCGAAGTCCAGCGGGAATCTGGAGGCTGTGACTCACCCGCTCTGCATAGCAACCGTCTCCACAACTGTCAGGCTGCTGGCCTCAGCTGCTCCTTCTGCCCCAGCTCATCCTGATGTTGAGGAGGCTGTCCATCCATCCATCCATCCACCCATCGATGGTGGTGTGGTCTGCAGGGAAGGGAGCTCAGTTTCTGACCAGACCTGTTTGCCTCCCCGCTCTACCCACCAGCAACCCTTTGCCCCTTAATTGCCATTTTGAAAGGCCTTTGTCTTGAGCCCTGGAAACTCAACCTTTGTGTGCAGCTCTGCCTGGGGAGGGGCATGATCGGGGAGGACTGAGTGCCTTCAGTTCAAGGGACACCACTGTGTGGGGTTTAACTAGAGCACTTCTCCCCATGGCCCCCCACCGGGAACACCCATGTGTGGTGGGGTTTTCAGTAGCGCAGATCCTGGGGAGACGGGGGGGCAGGTCTCTTGGTCTGGGACAGAGTAATATGTTACTGGAATCAAACTTCCGAGGCCCCGGACTGAATAGGCCCAGGTGTCTGTGCTGCCTAATCCCCGGTGGGAATTTCTTTTCTTTTTTTAATATTTTGAGTTGCTTCTAATTTTTTATTTTGAATCTTTGCACATAAATTTGTTTCAAAGAAGCCATCTATCATCTATCTCTTAAGTATGTGCTTGATAAATATATGATATTTTAAAGTTTGAATAGTATTATGTATATTTCCTTGGTGTTTTTTTTTATTGATTAAGTTATTACATGTGTCCTTATCCCCCCATTACCCCCCCCACTCATACCCTCACCCCCCTGGTGTCTTTGTCTATTGGTTGGGCTTATATGCTTGCATATAAGTCCTTTGGTTGATCTCCCCTCCTTAGCCCCACCCTCCCCTACCTTCCCTCTGAGGTTTGATGGTCAGATCGATGCTTCTCTGTCTCTGGATCTGTTTTTTGTTCATCAGTCTATGTTGTTCTCTATATTCCACAAATGAGTGAGATCATGTGATATTTATCTTTCTCCAACTGGCTTATTTCACTTAGCATAATGCTCTCCAGTTCCATCCATGCTGTTGTGAATGGTAAGAATTCCT